CTTTGTAATAATTCAAATAGTTATTAAAGAAACAGTTGAAATGCGATGCTTGTGTGTGTGATGAGGGTCCTCGTGCAGGCTGCTGGTTTGGGTCGCTGTGCGTGTCAGCTGATGTGAGTGGATATATGTTGGTGGATGCCACTTCCAGAAGGCTCTCAGTGAGCACAGCTTTGACAGCTGTCAGTTAGAAAATTAAATGAAGAGAAAAGATTTTGCTCAGGCCTTCAGAAGATAAAAATCTAATGGATGAAATAGGATGAACATATAAGAAAAAAGAAGAAATATTGTAAAATTAACAAATAAATATCACATATACATTTGTGTGAGTTTGTGTGTATGCACAGACATAGTTGACTTCCACGCAATGAAAGCCTTCATCAGCTGGAAGACTATCCAACCCATACAAATAGTAAGGCACTGTCTCTTATTCTGTTCACACTGCATATCAGGCCAGATCAAGGGGCTAAGAGCTCTCATTTCTTTTAAGTCTTCAAATACTTGCCAAGTGGGTATTATTGCTCTTTACGGATTAAGGATCTGAAGCTCCGAGAGGTTATGGAACTCTCCCCAAATCACACTGCTGGTAAATGGTGCAAATATCAGCAGGAAAGACCTCTGAACTGTGAAAAGCATTATCACAAAATCAACAAGGTCAAGTTTGTGTGCCTTTAAAGTAGCATCCCTGAAACCCCAGTTTCACCTTTGCAGACAAACTTCCAACTAGCTGATGACTGATCAGTAGACTGGGGGGGGATGTAGGGAGGAGCAAAAAAGAAAACAAATGTGTGCAGAGAACATTATGTTCAGGCAAAGAACACCAAAACAGGGATGTGAGGCCACTTAGCTCGAAAATAGCCCCAAATCCCCTAGAGCTGTCACTTTAGAAAAACACAGCTGTCAAGAAAAAGTTAAAAACAGATGAGCATAGTCTGTTTAAAAATTTACTTTATAAAAATATCCATTAACATGGCTATTACTTTTTCAATTACAATTCAAATTCAATTGTAAGTTTCAGTTACAGGTGAGTTTTTCTATCTGGAAAAAATCACTCAGCACAAATAGCTTGTTGCTCAGAGGCACCGAAGGAGTGAGGGCAAAGCCAGGGGGAGAGAATGCGGGCAGGAGAGCGGAGTCAGCTAGTGGAGGGAGGCTGGAGCAGGAAGGATGAGGTGCAGACAGGTGGGGCACCAGGTGTAATACTTTCTCTCTCGCCCCCAGGGAGAGCGACGGAGTCCCCAGCACCTCTTCAGACCTCGCCACACCCTTGACGGAGCCAAGATGAGGGCCTCCGTCCGCATGACCCGATACCTGGAGTCCTGGGGGGCAGCCAAGCCCTTTGCGCACCTGCACCACAGAGACAGCATGACCACAGAGAACGGCAAGATCAGCACCACGGTACGCCCTCCCCGTGCCTCCGGAGCACCGGAGGACAGCTAGGTCCCCAACCAAAGGCCGGGCATCTCCTGCCCAAGTAACTGTGGTCAGCAGTGAAGCAAGGTCGCCATCTCTTCTTCTCAGAGAGGCCCTCGTAAGCAGCTGCAGGGGAGCGGTGAGCTCCAAGCCCACTCTGCTAAGGGTTCTCACCTAGAGTGACTTTGCAGTCTCACCTTACAACCCCAGACAGTGTTGTTCACACTGATAGTGGTGACTGAATACAACAGAACGATTTTTTTTTAATTTATCAATATATAGGCTGGCTGGTTGGCTCATTTGGTTAGAGCACAGACTGGTAGCACCAAGGTCAAAGGTTCAGATCCCTGTACTGGTCAGCCACCAGGAAAAAAAAAATCAATATATAATGTAGTTGATTTTCATGTCCCTTTACCAATTCCTCTTTCT